GGTAGGAGTCGTTAACGGACCTTTTTTTTGACTTTTGAGAAGTAGAGGGACGATTAGGAGGTGTCATACGAGATCTCGTCGCTACCGAGGCTTGCGAGGGAGAACACTAAGAAGTGAGATCAGACTGAGGCGTTGAAGTAGGGATGTCTGAGCCTAGGACAGCAAAAGAATTAGATACAGGAGTGACTATGGGAGAGGTAACCACAGAGGTGGTTGCAGAAGATGTGATCCCAGAAGTGGGGGGGACGTTTTGAAACACGGGAATAAGAAACACGTGGTAGTCTCCCTTGGAGGCGGAGATGAGAAATTGCCATGGCATAAGGGAGACCTGCCTCCGAGGTAACGGATTTCCCGCTCGTTTAAGTAGACTTGACAACGGCGAGAGTACGAAGGGCGAGCCTCATGACAATTAAGGCAAGAGGGAGGTCAATTGCAAGAGACATTAGAATGGTCATCGGCACCACAGACCGGGCATTCGGCGATAGATCTGCAATATTTCGCTGGATGGCCAAATCGCCAGCAATTTCTACACTGTTGCAGTGTAGGGATCACCTTTCGAACTTTTAACCGATGTTCTGCTACATAAACTGAGGATGGGAGTTCACGGCTGTCAAAAGTTAAACTAACCACATTGCTAGGGTATCTTCTCCACCCACGGGCAGGAAGAACATAAATGTCTACCTTGAGGATTGGGAGATCTTTGAGTTCCAGCTGTTCAAGAATGTCAGTGCCACATGTCTGGAAATTTTGTTAAACTATGGTATGGGGCAGAATGATGGTACCACAAGAATTGAGGGAATGACGTTTTTCAATAGTGACAGGAACAGTATCGATATGGGAAAGACGAGAAAGCTCATGAGCCTGGGTAGCATTCTGTACGGTGATGCACATAATGCTCTTAAGAACATGAAAAGAAATCTTCACTAACATGGCGTAGGAGTGCCTTGCCAATACTGTGGTCAAAGATAGGCAGTAGAGGAAGTCAGTCGTAAAGTGAAGAATTTAGTCCATTGTGCAGTCTGAAACTGAGCATGGAAAGGTAGTGAAGGACGTGTCTATCTTTTGCGAGAAGAACGAGAAGGTGGAGAAGTATCAGCAGGCAATTGTCGTTGGCGTTAAGGCGTGGGACTAGAGTTGGTCCGACGTGGAATGGGCCGGCGATTCGAAAATTGCCGCACCGTAGAGGGAGAGGCCAGAAGCATAGTCGAGAGGACAGCGAAGGTCAGATAAATCGAAGGAGTCAGTCAAGGCCTCAGTACCTGAAGCAGGGGAGGAAACAGCACTGGCAAGAGGTACAGAGGCATGAGGAGTGTCCGAAGAGTGGTGCAAAGACGAGGCGGGGTCAGAACTGGGTGCGGTATCAAGAAGGGGCCCGGGGGTAGCAGGTTCATGGACTAGGGCTGTCATGGTTAGGTTACTTTGTTTAAAAAAAAAAAAAAAAAAAGGGGGGGACCGGGGAAGGATAGTTCCTAGGAGGAATGGAAGGGCCAGAAATCTCCCTCCGTGCCCAAGAGGACCTCAGCACCGCAAATAGCACAGATGCAGCATGGAGCCCATGCCATACCCTACCCATCATGCCAGTAAACCGGCAATCCGGGATAGCAACCTCACATCTGCCGAGCTACCTCAGTGGACAAAAGAGGGCGGCCGGAAATCCACCACAAAGCATACCTCCTTCGGCCACCACCCCCGGAATCCGAAAGGCGACTTTCGGAGATACACCCGTCGCCCGAGAGACCCAAAGCCACCCACCGGGATACCGGAGAGGGATCAGGACATCCCCAGGCAATCCAGATTCCACAGCAAACTATGCCACTGCCAAGAACCTCAACGGAATGGGATGGACCCCGGTACCCTTTCCCCTACCTAGGAACTAGCGTGCCTGTGGGGAGAAAAAAAAAAAAAAAAGCTAAAAAGGAAGGGCAAAAGGGAGGGGTGGGGAGGAGGAAAGGAAAAATAGGATGGATAGGGAATGGGGGGTAATTAGGTTCGGTCTAATTTCTCAGACCAAGAGCCTCTTCACCATGCCAAGGAGCCCCCTTGAAAAGGCACCTGGATCATATCCCCCCCCCCCAATTCTACGCCTTTTGAGAGGGCAGATTCAGGGCCCTCAGTCTATCCTCTGAGGGAAGATTTCCGATACATGGGATCATTGTCATCTACATTTTCCTGAGCATTTATATCCATTCTGTAATACGGTGACCAGAACTGAGCAGCATAGTCTAAATGAGGCCTAACCAAGGATATGTAGTTGAACAACCTGAGGACTATTATTTATACTTTTAGATATGAAGCCAAGAATTCTGTTAGCTTTATTGCGAACACTAATGCACTGTTTTAGATTACTGCTAACCAGAAGTAAATCCTTTTCGCAATCAGTAGTATTAAGATCTATATTTAGTTTACATGTCGCATGGTTATTTTCCTGTCCAACACTTGGAACTTTGCATCTGTCTATTAAACTGCATCTGCCACTTCTCCAACTTCTGTATCGGTCTATTCAAATACTGGAGTGCTCTAGTGTCCTCATTAGAATGAATTGGACGGCCTATTTTGGTGTAATTAGCAAATTTGCTTATGTCGCTATTTATTCCCTCATCTACATTGTTAATGTAAATTTTAAACGGGCCCAACACTGACCCCTGAGGAGCACAGCTTTTGGCGTGCCCTCCATTCTGATTTCACTCCATTTATGCAAACTGCTGCCTATTTGTCAGCCATGCCTCTACCCAGGAAAAGATTTCTATTCAGTGTGCCTTAAAATTTCCTCAATAGCCTCTGATGTGGAAGTAGGTACCGAGAATTTCACACATCCCCCATCACAGTGATCTGACGGGAGTTACTCTAAGTGGGCCAATCTTGGCCATAATCTTACTTCTGTATACCTGAAAAAAAACCTTTTGGTTTAGTCTGAATCCCTTGCGACCTTAAACTCAATCTTTGCTATTCTTATTCCTTTATTTCTTTAACTGAATATATTGATTTCTTAACTGCCCATCCCCTCTTTATACGTTTATATATGCCTCTTGACCAACGAGATTTTTAATCTATTGTTCGTCCATTTCTGATAAGTTTTTGTTGGATCTAATTTCCCTACTCTGAACAATAGTCGTCTGGGCAGCTAGAACTATGCTCTGAAAAACGTCATATTGGCAACCAAGATCGCCTACCTGACGTCCCAATTTAACCCACCTAGGTAATTTTTCAGTCCCATGAAGTCGTTAAAGCGAAAATCTGGGACAGATTTGATTGCAGTTATCTGGGCAATTCCATGATATATTGAAACAGTGATTTGTGATACTTTCCCCAAGCTCATTAACCTCAAGATTATTAATTAGTGACTTTCTTAGCAAGAACCAAGTCAAGCAGATTGTGACAAAACTAGAGGAAATCTGTTCTAAAGCAATCCTGAACCGTACCAATAAAGTCACTTGACTCAAGATTGTCATTGTTCCAATCTATTTGTCTGAAGTTATAATCTCCCCATTATCACATTTTCGTATCTAGATGCCTTATTTTTATACCATAACAGTTTACTGCAATCCCTATCAAGGCTTGGGGGGGGGGGGGGCCTAAAAATCACCCAAAATTAACTTTCCACGACCCTCGAGAAACTAGCCAAACAGATTGTGTTCGATGTTCCTAATCTTGTATCATGTCTAAGACAATTCAATTCTGATATACATCGCCACTCTTCCATCCTTCCTGTTGACCCTATCAGTGTGGAATAGTTTAAAACCCTGTTTGTTGCATTCTTTCAGGTTGAACCAGGTCTCTTGTACCAATAATGTCTACCTACACTTGCAAGTAATCTTAGCTCATCTTATTTCTTAGACTCCTATTTGTATAGTAAACTAAGGGAGCTAGTCACTCGTTGCCCTCTACTATCTGTTTATCAATTGACATTACTAGCAACTATTTTGAATATCCTTAGGTATCCCGGTATTAACTGCTGTTTTTAACACTAATACTGCAGCCTGATTGTGGGGAAAAACACCCTTACCTCTTATCTATCAGTTTAAATTCCTAGAAAAATCAATTACCCTCCATCTAATTTGCTAATGCAACCACTCCATCCCCAGAGCGGAACCCCATCCCTTGCATACATATTACGTTTGCCAAAGAATAGGCCCCAGTTATCAATGAATGGGACTGCAAGTTCCTTGCAGTACCCATCTAGCCAACAATTTATACCAATTGCCCACTCCCTTTGCAAGATGCTACATATGACTGGGATCCCTCCCTTAGACCTAACTACTACTATGACTGACCTGTACTTTTCCAGCAGCTCCTGTTTCTTGCCTTTCCCAATGTCATTACCCCCAGCACTAAGACAATGGGCTTGTTCCCATTACCTGACAATATTATCCAACCTGCTGTCTGTCACCAACACCAGCTCCAGGAAGGCACACTGTCTGACCTTTGTTACAAAAGGCGCGGTCCATACATCTTTCCTGAGAATTGTTAAAATATTCTTGCCTTGATTAGCAGGGTAATCAGTGGTACCTTCAACCTCACTAACCACTGAAGTGCACTTGTCCTGGAGAAAAATATTTCCTACCTTCACATCTTCCTTCCTGAACTGAACCACTTGCCACTTAAAGCAGCTGCCACTATCACTGCTAGTGACCATTTCCTCCTTACCAGCTAAATCCTTCTAACTCTCCCCAAACTAATGTAGGCGAAGCTTCAGCCTCCTATTTTCCTCCTGAAGTAGAACCTCCAACACTAACCTGAGATTCTAAAACACTACAACAAGCCATGGTGCTTGGTAACGCCCCACGCTAATTCCCAGAGCTTAGTACAGGTGTGACTGCAGGTGACCACTGACCTCGTGAAAGATCAGTCCAAGTGTTTAAATCTAGTTTTGTAAAGAAAAGCACACTGAATGGTGCTCGTGCTTTTTATAGCAATTCGTAATATTAATACTGCAATTCCTGAATATTTACAGCATTAACATTTCGGGGGAATTTTAGGAATAGCTAAGTTTTAATATTTACCTTTTCCTCATATCTAACTGTATGGCTCGAGGATGTTCGCAATATTCCACGACCACAGAGTAACAATTTTCTCCATTCAAGGAACATGCCAAGATATGCTTGTTGGTAGGATCTGTAATGTACAGGTTCCTACCCAGCCAGTCCACCATCAAGCCTTCGGCAGGACCAGTGCCTGAAATTTGAATGTTAAGATTACGCCTTTAAGAGAACCTCGAAAACTCTTAATCATTTAAATGGGGTGGGGGGGGAAGGGGGTTTGAGCCCCCAAGTTTACGCATGTCAAGTACTAATATCACCCTTCAGGGGGTGAAACCTTCCAATTGCTTTCTTAAGTCCTCTAAAGTAAAGATTGAAAGCCCTTTAGGGTTAAAATTTAAATTTAATCCATCTCAAAACTGACGAGAAAGTAGATTGTCAATTTAACAGGTTTAACAACCTGTGATTTGGATGTTTGCCTTTCCAGACTCCATCGTCTACTTAAGTCATATTTAAGTGTAGAGCCCCTTTTAATGAAAAATTGCTTTTGGTCCTAAATTGGTAATTTGCACGTGTACCCAACTTCCTAAATTAACATTCAATCACTTGTGCTCAAAAAGAACTTTCCTAGCAATGTATTCCTTAATATTTTAAGTTGGTAATTTTAGAGAAATGCCTCATCGTTAGAGTTGCGTAGATATACATACGAGAGTATACTGAAGGACCTTACAAATTCTTTATACAAGTATTTACTTTGTGGAGCTACTAGTGGGTAGAACCTAGGTAGTTTCCTTGCTAGTCTAGCGAAGCATTCAACAATTACCATTCTAAAACTAAATAAAACTTAATACACGAAGCTTAAATATCTGTAAGAGGTCCTGACTGGCAAATTTGTGCCCAGACTAAAATCTACCACAGCCATATTAAGTGGAACTGACATTTCTCTGCCCATATTCCCTGGAAACTTTGGTCAAGATAGTCGTGAGGGGGTTAGGGGGTATAGGATTAATACCATGTCCAGGTAGAAAGTGCAAAATTTACAATTAAATTTTAGTTTTGGGGGAAGTTAAGAAAATCCAAGTGGTAAAATAGTGTTCTATCATAAAGTTTTGAAGGCTGGGTTAAAAAAAAAATTCCGAAGTTAATGAAGTTTCGGTCCAACTTTAACCACTTACAAAGTCTTCATAATTTTTTTTTTATATCTGAAAAGTTATGTGCAGGTTATCTAATTTTCCAGTCACAATATTGTGCCTGTTTTCTCAGTGGAGGTTTATTTTCTAAACTTGTACCACCTACCTTTATTTATCACTATCCGGGGCAGGTTATTACTGTCCAGCAACACTTTGTAAACCCCCGACTGACTGCTCCAAAACAATATTTTGTCTTCTGGGTCATATGCCAGTGCAACAATCTGCAAGTAATGCCATTAAGTGAATTAATGAGCAGAATTAATGAAGTATCTCTTATAAATTCGTCTGAAGTAAATTTCCTCTAGAGAAAGGATTCAAATTTTTACCACTGCAAACTAAATAGCGTCAAATGAGTCAATTTATGGCGGAAGTATTTTAATTACAGGGTTAATGTACAGTGTCCTTTTAACTATTTCCATTATCACTGTAGAAGTGAAGCTACAATTTAGTGGCAGTCTAAACAGTTTAAACCAATTGCAATTTTCACTAGCAAATTCGTTGTTTAACTGGCAATGTCGGGAAATTCGCATCTTTTGTACCGAACGAAATGCAGTCATGGAAGCTTAAACCACGAAGAGCAGGTTGCATTAGGGCAAGAGTAGCCAAAGCTAGTTTAAGAAGCCTACATGTCTGGCATGAAGTTACTATTTAAGCTATATAGAAAAAATTAGCTGGTGTTTTATAGTCTTAGAAGCAGACCACTTGTGAACAGGACGGGGGGGGGGGGGAAATAAGGCAGACAATACAGACCACTTCATCGCTTGTAACTATTTGCCTGTAGAAAGATTCGTCCAAGCTCAGCAGCCTCACTCCTTTCTCTTGGGCAAAAAACAAGGAGGCTGGTTCTTTGCCTGTAAAGAAATTCCTTCCATTTAGATTCTAGACAAGTCAAATTCTAATTATTGCTTTAGAACGTTTGAGAAATTCCTAAATACATTTTAGTATTTAGGAAATACTAAAAACAGGTCTAGTTACTGGCGTAACCGAGGTCAAACTCGCCATTTGTACCTTTGTTATGTTTCCTTAGTTAAATTACGTTTTATTGCCAACTAACTTTAAAATTAAATTTTTAAACTTTAGCTTCAGAATTTAACATGTATTCGCAGTCATATTGCATAGCGGGGACACGTACTTTTAGTTATGCAAGTTGCATTGTCAGGCTGTAGTTCATACTGGGGATGACACTGGCACTGGTAACTACCCTTCAAGTTGTTACAGAAATGGTCGCACACACTCACGTTACCCTGACACTCGTCCACATCTGAAAATCATATCCTATTAACTAGAAGGGAAGTTTGTTTTGCTTTACTGCACGAAGTTTAAGTCTAAACTTCAGACTTTCAACAAATTCTACAAATAACATTTTTTGTACTGAAGTTTGTAGTCTTCAATCAGGTTTAACAGGGTACAGTAAATACTGGCTAGAAACTGGTGTTAAAGAGTAATATTAGTTTTGGAAAAAGTTATTTAATACTTTTGAAGATTGCATTTCAAATAACTATAGACCAGTTCCCTAGCGGTTGGAAAAAGTAAACTTAGGGGAAGGGGTGTTTGTGCAGTAAAAATTTTCCCACTCCAGGTTTAGTGTGGATGAGTAAAAAAAAAAAAAAAAAAAAAAAAAAAAAAAAAAAAACTTTGCTGGAAGAGCCAGTTCATGGAAGTCAGAACATTTGGAGCACCGAGGTGGAATGTACATGGTTGTCGAAACTAATTTTAAAGAAACTGGTAGATTACTGTCTCCTAAGTCTAGTCTCGCGGTCAACTATTTTCACTTAATCAGATAATTTACTTCTGATTTTTTTAAATTGATCCTACTTACACCCCGGGCAATAAAATTTAATAGGTTGAAATAAAGTTTATTGGAAATTAAAGTTAAATTTTATACGAATTAACCGAAATGAATTGGTACCTAAATTACCAATTATATACCATTCCACCACAGGGTTTTTCCACTAACCTTCACAGGAACCACTTGAGGTTATCTTAAAGCCGTCGAGACAAGAGCAGCGAGGACCAAGCGGAGTCTTCACACAATTGTAAGCGCAGTTTTTGCAAGTTTCGTCTGGAAAGAAACGACAATCTATATAGTCAGATTCCATAAAGAAATCTGAAATAGAAGGGGGGGGGGACAGGACTAACTACTCATTCCAGGTTTAAGATGATTTATTGGCTTAAAAGTATTTCCTGTATTACATGTGCCTTCAAACTATGATCAGGATTATAGTTTTACAAAATTTTTAGTTACTTTGTACTGCTTTCGTCGCCGCGAGTCAAGACAACTTATTCAATTTTCCAGCTTTCTGTACATGGAAGCTCTAGGAAACGTGTGGCTCAGGTTCCTAATAGTTAACCATTAGCACTGAAAAGCCATAGCTGTTCACAGGTCATTACATGGAAATTAAAAGGTATTAATGTTCAGAAAGCCTACAAAAGCTATGCGATGTCACATGGAAACAAGGAGAGAAGAGGGATAAAGTTGACAGCAGCTGGGTCGTGAGGCAGTCTCCTGATACAAGAGAACGAAACGCCCAGTTCTTTGCCGTGAAAATTTGTTCCGCGATTCTCCACTGTCAAGGAACTTAAAGCGAGAAATAAAGTTAATTTTTTCATAGTACTGGTTTTGCGTATTTTGGTATCGTAGGTTTACCGTGATATTGCATTTCATTATTTTCATCAAAAAGCCCTTTAACAGCAAGGCCATTCAGCCAAGTGTTACAGTACCATTTAAACAGACTTTAAAACGTGAAGACTTTTTCTCAAGTTCATGGAAAAAAATTACAATTTTTAGCAGACTGCATCTGCCTTTATCGATTGGATGGGTATCTGGGGGAGGAAAGCGAGCCAATGTGGCTAAATTAATACTCTTAGCTAGTTCCATGAATGTTTACTCACTACAGCGGCCACCCTCGTCGCTGCCGTCTCCACAGTCGTCCTTGCCGTCACACGCAGCTTCACGAGGAAGGCAAGTGCCGGACTTGCACAAAAAGTGCTTTGGATCAGACATGCATGCCAGAGTGCCTGGAAAAGTTTACACGTTTACTCAGTTTAAGCGAGGATGTAAAATATTAAATCCAACATGTACATTAGGAAAGCAAGGTTAATCAAGATGTATGGCTAATGTGTAATAAACCAAGAACTTTAAAACCTTACAACAACAGCCCATGTTACACTATTTAATGGTGATTGGGCTGTAAAAATCGCGTGACGCAAGCCACAATCTCATCGAGAAGTTAAAGGCACTGAAGTGTAATTACGAAGCACTTCAGTGCCCACCTTCAAGGGCGTACAGAGTCAAGGTACTTATGCACTGTTCCTCGTCGTCACCATCAGGACAGTCTAAAGAGTCGTCACACACAATGCGTGAGAGATACATCTGCCACTACGACATCTGTACTGGTGATCCTAAGCATGTGGTGGCACCTGCAACATTTACCTCTTGGTAACATCAGTATGAAAGTTAAAAGTTAGTCTTATTTAAAAGACTTAGTCTAGGCTTTAGGAAGAGGTAACTGTGCCTGCGCGGTACTTACTATTCAAGATGACAAGTTACTTCCTTTTGCAAGTATCTTTTTTCTCACTTCAAAACTAAGTTATGGCAGATATTGCGCTACTGAAGAATTAACACTTGCGAAGACAGGGGGGGGGGACACCAATAGTTACGAAAACCAAATTCGTTAAAACGGGTTGAAGATGTGGCTATTTTTAAAATTGGGAAAGGAGGGTAAATTAAAATTGAATTTGGTTAAGTAGCCAAAACACTCCCTGGAGAAGTCCTTCCCCTACTGAACTAGTCACGAGGGAACACCCTTACTTCCAAGCTTCTGGGGAAGCCAAGGCAAGGACGTTAGAACAAAATGTCTAATCCGAGATCCCTCTCTCCCCGGTATCAAGGACCTTAATGTGGTCCTACCCAGCTTCCAGGGTCAGCCACTTTACAAAAGTTTAAAGTCAAAGTGACTGAGGCGATTGTAAAGTCCACAGAAGAACCGCAAATTCGTTTTCCTTCCTGTTAACCCGACAGCCTGGGTATAAGCTGTAACTTTTCTGTCACAGACGTAGAGTAAGCAAAGTCAACCTGATAAAGCTTTGAAGAGTTTAGAGGCTCGTGACTTCCTAGGACAAGTTAGGAATGCAAAAAATTGTTTTATGCATTAAACTACCACAATAAAACATTTTCATTAGAAAGCTTGTCTAGCACAAGTGTCTAGACTAAAGGAATTAGAAACAAAGCACGTCCAGTCCCTGGAGGAATTTTACCCTAAGCAAGCTTTAGGTAAGAAAGCTAAAGCTTTTGAAAGCCTCTACTAATGCGAGCAATACTTACAGAGCAGTTATATTCGTCGGAACCATCTATACAGTCAGATTCGTTGTCGCATTTCCACAGCAGGGGAATACACGCTTTGTTCTTGACACACATGAAGTGATTTTTCTTGCAAGCGTTTTCTTCCTGCGAGACCAGGTTAAACAAGTGGTACTAATCAAACAGTTTGTACTCTAGTCATTCATTAACTACTTTGATGATTCATTCCCTTACTCTTCAATGGAAATACATTTACGTGCCCTTACAGGTAAGGGACCAATAGGTTGACTATCCACTCCAGGATCAAATCTGAGTCTGCTACAAGTTAATAGGTAGCCATCTTATGGTGGCCAAGATCTAGCTAATAATGCTTAGCTAAACTGTTGGCCAGGAAGGCACGACTGGTGTCAATGCAGAAATTTAATGCAAAAGGTATTAAAGCAATTTGGAAAAATATCCCAAGAGATAAGACTTCAATTTACCTTAAAAATTTTATCAGGTATTTCTAGAGTTAGAATAAATTAGTCCACCCGACAATTCTTTTTATGTTACTAAAAATAAAATTAGTATTAATAAATCTGCAGACTACTTACTACACCGCAGCCTCGTTCGTCAGAGCTATCAGCACAATCTGGACTGCCATCGCACCGGAAGTATTTAGTGATGCATTCTCCGTTACGACACCTGAACATCCGACTTGGGTCGCACGTTCCTACGTGGCGAGGAAAAAAAATGATAGTGTTTTGGGGGAAGCTATTTAAATATTTAGCAGTGAAAATTATTTTCATACTTTTATTTCCATGTTCACAACAGCCCTTTAAAACTGGGGTGGATAGGGGAAAAGGGAAAGAAGGGTTTACACAGTATCAGGAATTAGAGGGTACCAGTGTAAAACAACCTAGTTCCCTTAGTATCCTTTCGAAAGCCTACCAATGTTGGCACCGCAGTAAGTCAAACCGTCAGTTGCCGCCGTCGCCGCCGCTATGTCACTCGAGTGACAGTTAAGATATGATTACAAGTGTTAGTATCCCATGCTTGGCACGTTTACCTCGCCAGTATTATTCATGTTGGCATTACAGTGTTCTGCCTTCCTCCTCTGCTCTCCCCACCTCCCGCCCCCCTTCTCCAAGAAGGAAGGAAACTAAAATTTCTTACATCGAAAAATTTTTATTAGGTGAAACAATTACGGTGATAAATATTAGTTGACAGACAATTTCAAGAGTGTAAAGAGCAGGGTAATGGGGGGGGGGAGTGAGGGGGAGGAGCAAGCTATAGAGCCGCTAGACTGGGGACGGGTAGGGGGAATAAAGATTAGTTTCATAAGGGAGCAACAGAAGTCAACTCCGTTCGGGGGGGGGGGGGGCTTAGTTTTCAAAAATTATTCATTCCCGCGTCAGATCTGAAATACTTCTCGAAAGTCCACATGAAACGAATAAACATCTCATTTATCACTAATTCTAATTAACAATTTTACTTTAAAAAACTCCAATATGAGAGAGTTAGGATTAAGGATACAAATTATCCTTCAAAAGCACGTACAAATTTTACAAGACAGGTTTGCTAGTAACTAGAAAACTGGCATTTATGTTTAAATTGCAGTTTTAATTCCCTACGGTTATTAGCCAGCTAATTTATTACTATTATCAGTATAATATTTAGAGTGGTGGAAAAGTGAAGAAAAAATTAGCGTTAAGCTTAACAGATATTGCAAGACTGATTAACGTCTAAGGAACTAGCAGCAGTATCCTACAAGAACGCCTCAGTCAACAGTTATATGAACAGTCATCTACGAGCACCAGGGTAGGATTGTAGTTTATAGGTCAAGAGCAGGTAACTTATGCCCGGTCCTAAATAAAATGCTATTGCTCGCCCCCTGCATTACTCTTTCCTCTAAAATGGAAAGATGCAATAGCAACTACTGCCAAGTTTACTGATAATCCTGGTCATTCAGAGCTTAAAGACGAGATAAGCATTCAGTTAATCTGCTTACAAAGTAATACCATTTATCTTCACCTTATTAAACTGGAAACTAAATTGCCCAAATCTGCAGTTTTAGTTCAAGTCCTTTAAAGCAGCTTAAAGTAAGGTACTTTTGAGAAAATATTTTTAACGTTATGGGCAGATTTCAAAGTTAATGAAAGGATCCGATGAATTATTCCATTACCAATGAGCCGAAATTTAATCTTCCTCCTTTAGAAGGAAAATTTCTGAAAGTTATTTAGCACCTTAGCAGAGTACTGTACTCTCCAGCAGAGCTCAGGCCAAATTTAGGAGTAGATGCCAAGAACATTTTAAGTTAAGATCGCATTAGTTTAAGGTCGTACCACTGGTGCAATCTAAAGTTTTCTTCTACCCGGACGTGTGCATCATGGTAGGCTTTGGGGAAAAAAAATAGGAAAATGAAAAATACAAGTCGTTCAAGGGTAAAAAAAAAAAAAACCTAGGGTCAATGAACAATGAAGTCTCCTCCTCTTACTCGTGTGCTGGTTGATAGATAACTTGGGTATGGAAAGTATGGGGGGAAGGGGGGGGGGGTGAACTAGTGTATACGTCATATCTGAAAATCTCTTACACTTACTTTCGTACGAGATACCAGCTTGTGTTAAAGGGCTTGAACCAGTCTCAGACACATTAACATCAGTTTCTGTAGAATTGTTGAGGGCGCGACGCACGGTGTCTGGGAAGACATGGTTGGAAGTCTCGCCGCTCCAGGTCTGCTTTTCACTCATGTCTAAGACGATGAATGTATTTAAAACTTAATTGACCAAGCAAACGTTACTCTACTACGGTGAAGTGTTACATAATTATGGCGAAAAGTAAAAAAAAAAAACTAAAAGATTAAGTACTTTACCACGTTTATATTTTAATTAATTTATTATAATAAAGGGGGGAAGCGCTAAACCCGGAGGATTATACAGCGCCTGGGGGGGGGGGGGGATGTGGAAGGCATTCAGGCTTAATTCGGGAAACTGAAGCACAGATCCAATTCCCTAAATCAAGAGCCCCTCACCAACATCAAGGAACCTTCCTTGAGGGGTATTTTAATTAACCTTTACAGTAGACCTATTCACAAAAAATAGGTCAATAAAAGTTTACCAGTCTTATTTTAAGGAAATAACCAAATCTATACTTTCTCCCTCGTGTAAAGCTTGTCCATATAAATACTCTGCAAGTTTTCATCATCCAACCTTATGAATTAGCTTCCTTATTTCAAAGTTTAGAGTAAAATCTTTACTTCCAGCTATGTTAAAAGCTAGTAATCAGTTTGGTCCTTTCTATCTTTTTTATGCACGTTGCAATAAATTGGTAGTATTATGACCTCTCGGTTGAAGTAAAGGCAAAAAATCTATTGGCTTAGTAGGTTTATCCTGTATTTACCGTTGTATTCTTTGCTAACCAGCAGGATGCCTAGTCAGTTTCACAAATTAGAAGGAATCTTCACTACATTCAATTTACCTGCAGGATTATTGCACTAGACCGTCTATGGCAAGAGATATTCAGATTTTGCATGAAAGCCAATTCCTTGAAGCAAAAGCCCCTTCCATTGCGTCAAGAGACGCGACACCCTACGCAGGTTTAACTTGCGTCTCATGGAGAAATAATTTAGCGAAGCACTGCAGTAGACCCACTGGCTGCGCTAATTTAAATTAACCCGTCCCGCTTATAAAGCCCATTTTATGTGTGTGCTCCGAGAGTTGCTATAAACCAGTAAGAGTCTTCCAAGTTTCCTTTGCAGTTTAAATTAAAAGATAACCGTTAGATGGTTGGGGCCTCAATTGGCAGGCTATTGTGTTCAGCTTTAAGCCTTCAAGATAGAGGGTAAACGTTGTGCGCCTTCCATCTCTCATTCATAAGGCCAATTGCTTAGTTATCGTTTTAATTAAGACTCACGAAGGGAAGTTCCATTTATGACGAAGCTTGCCTTCATACCAAACTAATTTAAAAATGTTTTTTTTTAATTAGCTTAGTTAAAAAGACAATAAAAAAAAAAAAGGAGTTCTTACGTTGAATGTGAAGGTTCGTGTCTGTGGATTGCGAGGAGACATCTGGTGGAGGCGGCGGTGTGTGTACAACGAATAGTTTAGTGTTAAACCTGACAGTTCTTGATGCGCGTTGTGGTTGGTCTCCCAGCAGCCAGAGTTGGTTAGCAGAGTTAACTGCCAAGTCATTTCCCTTCGCTGCCATGGGTAGAAATAATCCATTAATAAAATACCTCTTCCCCTAATTCAAGTACTCTACGAATATCAAAAAACAAATTTCTTAGAAGAAGCGCTAAGCCTAAAGCCTTGAAGTGTCTACAGAATGAAATTAAAAGCTTTCTTCCGAATATAGGGTAGATAGTATTCCCCTTGGATCAAGAGCCCTTCCACTCTTGGAAAGCAACTAAAAAACAAAAACTTACCAAATATATTATTTTTGGCATGTGCGTGAACTACCACGAACAGCAGCAGGAAGGTAAAGAAAGTAACCACATTGAGCGGGGGATCCATCATGGTAACACTTATTGGACAACACACTGGCAACACCAGCAGCCAGCAGCCACTAACTCCTGCTCAACCCTCCAACAACACCAAGATATTCTGTCAGTTCACGCACCCACTCCTCCCTCTACTGTGTGATATCAAACCTGTCAACTCAAGAGATAACTCCACTTTGTCCTGTCAACGCTAGATGGCACTAACGGATACACTGGTTGTGGTGCTCAGTATCACCAAAGAAAAAGGGCAAATATCAGCAGTGTTATGGTACACTACGAGAGTTACAAATCCCGACACTTCATGCTACATATGGGCATGCTGTGGATCTACATTTTTTGAGGCGCTGAAGCTTGAACTGTTATGGGCGCCCCTTCACAACCCCTTCTCATACAGTAGACCCGAAATATTTAAGCAATAAAGCCGTTTCCGGGACCCCTCCGGGAAACTAATGAAGCTTAAGCTTCATTAATTTCACAGCAGATCCGACCCTGCATATGGGACCTATTTATCGAAAATAGTTGAGTGCTTCAGTACACAGGACTTGGATACCTTCAGCTTAGACGACTGATATTGGAACCAGACGCAAGGCCGCCACTTTCCCTCACTTCCCCCATAAATGTATATACATGAGAAATACTCATCTTTGCAGATATATAACTATCACATAAACAGGAGTAGCAACTCATTGACGATGTGATGTATCCCTTTTTAGATTAAAAATTTAAATTACATAAATCCCATTCCATGCTAGGTAAAAGGACACAAGTGCAACTAATGCGACATTTTGGTGTGGTAACGTTTCGCTCTCCCAGGAGCTTTGTCAAGCCGTTACCGTTAACGGCTTGACGAAACTCCAGAAGAGCGAATCGTTACAACAATTAAATGTTATATTAGTTGCACTTGTGTCTTTTTACCAAGCACATTGTCGGTGATTCCACTAAGATTATTGCGTATTATGGGCGTCTGTAACCTTTGCGCTGCCACCCGCACGATTATGCTGTCCATTAAAAAAACATTAAAATTATAAAATCGCGTCGAAATCACAGTTTAAATCAATCTTTGAACCTCAAATCATCCTCAGTCATCCTGCAAAACTTGTATATGAAATAAATTATAGGTTGTCGATGACCCTGCAACAACTACAATAACAAAATTTCAATGTATTTATGAAATAATGGAAGAAAATACAGACATAAATGACAAGAAGATCAAAAATATATAAAAATTTTACTGAGAGTCCGAGTGAACCAGCAGATGTTCAACTGTGACTCGTGGCTCGGTTGGTAACGCACTCGCCTCACTGAGTGGCCGTGGTTCAATCCCCAGCACGGGTGGAAACGTTAGGCATGTTTCCTTACAACTGTCCCTGTTTATCTAGAAGTAAGTAGGTACCTGGGTGTTAGTGGACTACTATGGGTCGGATCCTGGGAGGATAAGACTGAAGAACCACAATAGAATTCAGACAGACAGTCCTCGATGACCCACTGACTTTCTTGGGATATCCTGGCTGGCTAACTCTCCCTCCGGTAAAAAATTCCAACAAATTTTATCTCTTCCAAAAAGTGTTTCAATAGGATATATATTGAAACACACGATATATGTATAACAGACTGATTACTTCGACTCCAGGCTGAGGGACTGATTACCTCCAACTCCTTCTGATTTTCACTATTATTCTTTGTATTGGACTGATGAAGTCACTGTGTGGCGACACGTTTCCACAATAAAAGATACCCAAGCATTGCATATGCCTAAATTTATCAACTTTTCTGTTCTCTGAACGATTTATCTAATCTTGTGACTCGCCTGTCTCTTACAACATCCAGTTGACATTTACCAAAATCCACATCCTTTCTCACGGCGTCTCCCTCATGGTAGATCTCCGGGAGGTGGTGAGGTCCTGCCAGGTTTAGCCCCACGACGAGGGCGCTGCAGGCAGCTTGCATCACGAACCACAACCTAGAGGAACAGAACTATTCTGCAGGTCTGGCTGATCAGAAAACTTCACTATAAGGAATGTTTACATTTTATAACTTGATAATGATCCAGTAAGAACCGAAAAGCCGTCTAAAAGCTTCCTCCCTAAGTTGAAGATTAGTTGTAAATTTGGCCAGAAAGGATGAACTAGACTCTCTTCAGAGCCTCGACCGGCAAAGCAAGTGGTAAGAGAATGGGATCGAAAATGAAGCATCCGTATCGCTGAAGGAAAGTCTTTTCCGGGCGCGGCAGGAACGCCCAGAAGGCTCCAGGACTGAGACTTCGAAGTCATAGATGGTGTTGGGATAGGCCTGGTGGGAGAGGACGTGGGAGACCCTAAGCTCGTAGGAGGAGAGTAGGGTCTGGTCGGAGTAATACATCCTGAAGTTGTCTCACTGGTGGATGAAGTTGTGGGCGCAATTTCCCGTGACGGCCAGAAAGATTCTTGGAACATATAAAATAGAGCTAACTTTGCTTGGACAAAAATCACTATTGATGTTTACTGTAATACATGCAAAATGCGGTTTAAGGCATTTTAAGAGAAGACGTTTTGTCCATCAGGGATTTTATCAGTTCTCCCAGAGAACTAATAAAGTCCTTGGTGGGTGAAACGTTCTATCAATAAAATGACATAAACTGCATATTATGTATTATCAGATATACTTCTCAATATATTTTACCGTTGATATACATTAAACACACCTAGGAAAAAGATATAAATTGAGGATTTTGACTGGTTTTCAGACATTAATACAAGTGACCTGCAGTGACCTGTCGTGACATCCTGTGGCCTCTTTGGCAAATGCCTCCACACAGCCCCTTCCCCTCATTCCTCGATGCCTCTCCAATAATCGTGGTCTTACCTGCAAGGAAGGCGAGACTCAGCGAGTCTATGATCACCGCAGTGACCAGCAACGATACACAAGTCAGTGTTATTCAATCCTGTATTATCTTCATGTGTGCGGAAGGTCCGCTGCCCACTACCTCTAGCACCTTTCTTGCCTGCAGTAAAGGCAGCAGATGAGAGCCTGGAGCAGTAAAAATTGTTTTATATTCAGTGAAATTGAGCACGTCAGCACAGCTTGACTCTGTGCCGTCTAAGTTTATTGCATTTTGCTCACTTTAAGTTCGTACTAAGACAGGAGACAAGCTTATGACGACTTTGAGAGGTTGACAGGGACATCCTTGCACCCCTCTCCTATATATATACACTGGCCCCTCAGTCTCGTGTGTTAGTGTGACTTGTAAATGGTCTAAATCGTACCGAAACGTCTTAAACCTCTCTCTTACGTGCAGGTTATTTGAGTATTGTTCCAGTCACGGTATTGTGCCTTTATATACATTACTCTGCGTTTTTATCCCGTCCCATCGGGCATGGTTATATCTTTTAGTTATTGTCGAGTGTTTTAGCTACACTGGCGAGGGAGGGACGGGCAGAGGAAGGACTGACGGAAGGAAGGGATGAAATAACACAGTCCGGGTAGTAAGCTGGGTTAGGAAGCTTATTCGGTGATTCTCGAGGACCCATAAAAGACATCTCCTGCCTCCTCAATTGCTTTTCTTCAGCATAATACACACACACACACATACACACACAAACACAGCAACATTGCAAGCTCGTTAAGATGCGATGATTGCAACACGAAAGGTCTAGAGCTATCATTCAACTCCCTCTGTGGTTGCTCACTGCTAATCAGTATAAAAAGTCAAAATCGGTGAAGTAGCCGTTTTTAACAGGTTAGTGGAGGCTTCAGATTGACACTCGAAGCTGCTTCCTTTCCGACTTCGAGTGACACTCGGCTACGTTAAAATGGTCCAAATTGCTCTTTCACATTTATCCGTGGAACACTAGGCAGAACAAGTGTATAATTTAGATCTTTACAAATTTGAACCAGACATTTTAATATATAAAAGCCTAAATGGAAACATAGATACGTGAATCTATACACCCAATAAGAAGATATGAACATATAGGGAATCCATATATGTATGAGAAACAGATATCCCAAGACTAAGGTAAACATATTTGTTTAACTAATTTTTACGAGCATTCAGGATTCACATGTCTGTTATCAGTACTGGAAGATCAGAGAAAGATGACCAGGCAGAATAGCTTTGGTTTTTATCAAAGCCTTATATTCCGAGATACAAACACTGACACATACAATAACTAAACACTTGTCAATGCCCAGTTATAGTCTACATATATTTCAACCCCCTTCTGGGATCCTCTTCAGCAGGTACGGTATCTGCTGAAGAGGATCCCAGAAGAAACTCGAAATATACAGAGCAATTAATCTCCAGTGTTTCTGCCTCCATGTGTGTTTTTATCGAGCACGTAAAAACGGATATAGGCAAGAAGACAGAGAGAAATCTACAACAGATACACATAAACAGGTTAAACAGCGGTAAAAGACAGATGTAGAATGGGTAGACAGACGGGAGGTGGAATTTTTTTTTTATTTTATTTAAAACCAATACAGTTTAACATCAAAATAAAGAAACAGTATGGATCTCAATCAAATTAACTGACAAACGGATTGCACCTACATGCTGGCAAGATATTGCTGCCAAACATACAACAAGAACTTACGGCAAGAACACAGCTAAAAAAAAAAATACTGTCACAGGGTCATGAATTGACATATATACACATTCATTGATGCAAAACCTTGCATATATATAACTTGTACATATAACATGACATCTGACAAAGGCTCAATACACTTGAACATAAAATATACAGAGAAGTTACATCAGTTAAATCCCATCCTTCGCATTAATCAAAAAACCAAAACCTAACATCATAATCTTACTAGAACATCTACATACGTATCCCTAACAATACAGCTTTACATATACCAACATACGAAAAAAACCATAAACCGTCTAGATATGTGTGTATACCATACAGACTAAAACTTAACATCAAGAACATAGCATTGACACCAAACCGGTATCAGGGTACAGACCATAATTATAAACTTTAAAAAGAATCGAATCATACATATATAAAGCATTACATAAAGTCTGACCCATGACAAAGGCTCAAAACAATAAAATGGGATATATATACACACACACACACACACACACACACACACACA